TATTCCAATGAATTGATAGTCATGAATTATTCTATTATTGATATGTGTATCTCATCTCGTGATTATATTTTTACAAGTTTTGATAGTGAACAAGGCAAAAGGAAAGATTCAAGACAAGCGTAGTGGTGCTATCGCTGTGCTTCAAGAGTTTTGTGTAATGAATTTTGTTATAAATATTTAATAATTTAAATTTCCATAGGAATGCATAAGCATGTCTTATCAACATGTGAATTATTTTTATGGAAATCTTAGCTTGATGTGTGATATTAATGTGATTTGTAAGGCTAAGATAAGGGTGCAAATGTATGGTGGATGTGTGAATATTTAGAGAATGACTGTTTATATATAGAAAATTACGAAAAATCAGCTCTGTTATGTGTAGAAGGGTAGTTTGATGACCAAATTTGTGTGAATGTGTGATTGCATTGATATTATTGCTAATCAGGTGAAATATGTTCTATTGAATGTGGTCAAGCCTTTAGAAGTGACTAATGATATAAGGGTTAAATTTGGGGTACTTGAAAATTGGGTGAAAATGACAAAAAGTGGCTATTTTATATTTGGGTATTCAATTTTCAAATTGGTTAGCTTGTTAAATAAGTTTTATATAGGCTCTTGAATCACTTTATCGAATTTCATATGAAGAAATAGCACACATCACAAATTCAAATCAGTGAGCCGTCACTGATAGTAAAATCTGATACGCGCGTCGCAAAGCATGGATTTCTTGCTTTTTACCACACTGTGGCATATGACCATTTTTTTGAAACGTGTTATTTTGCTTCGATTTTCCCATCATGTAATGCTTCTATAAGTTGTAGGCTTTCGTTAAGCAATAAAATATACATTTGATTAGTTTTTAATGGTTTTTGAAAGGTTGAGATTTCAAATTTAAAGCATTTATATTCAATATTTTCAATATTTATTATTTCGATAACATGAGAGATCTGCAAGGTCTTTAATTGTATTTGTATAAATTAAGTGTGATAATTTGGTAATGCGTGGTGTCATGACAAATTATCAATTTAAAAAATAATTTATTCAACTACATAAATATATAATTAAATTTTTTGACCTCAATATAAACCAGATTTGATCATTTGACATCAACATTAGAGAAATGACACATATTGTTTATAATTCATAAATTATATGATTCGTAATAAAATTTATAGTATATATATAATTTATGAACGAATCATGTTGATATTGATTTTACAAAATGTTGAATCTCATATATAGAATATTGAATCTCATGTGTAATTAATACATAATATGACTTCCAATTTATTTATATCTTAAAATGTCAACATCAACTAGAATTGGATGGAAGAAAATTTAAAATGGATACGGAACATGACATGACTTAATAAAAAAGTATCTTTCACTAACTTAAGAATAATTGAACTCTTTAGTTTCAATTATTAAATATTAATAGATTATAGATAGCGTAACTTATTGTTGTGGAAAGAAATCTTAGCAGTTGTAGCACGGAAGGCAAGCATTAAAGGTGGAATCACTCATTTGGCGACATGTCATATCTGTCACGTACACGCCCCTCTTTCTGTTCACATGCACGCGCTCTCTCTGTTTATATATATATATATATATATTAAAATAAAAACGATGAGGGCATTTACATCCTAGTAACTCGCCGCTCCAAAAGTATGTTTCCAAATTTAAGAACTACCCATAATGATATTTGTAAGTCATTTATTAACAAAATTTTTATATTATTAACAATATTTAAGCCAGCGATCTTATATATCATGAGTTAAATTTTTATTAAATAAAATATTTTTTAATAATTCTTTATTAATTTTTTTAATTTCATCCTAAAAGAAAAAAGGTAGAAATATTAAAATTTATTATTTAAAAAGAAATTATTTTCAAGGCAATTTTGTTTTGTAACAAGAAGTTGACAATGATTGAAATGATATATGGAGTGAGTGTGAAATAGCTTTAGGACTATAACTACTTAAAGCAATGCTTAAGTGTAGAGTGAGTAATATAAGCCAAATCTAACGTCCAAATAAACCTAAAAAACTTTAAGGCAGGGTTTAACATTAGAAAAAAAAATAGTTACACCCGAATAAACCCGACAAAAATACTTTTAAACAACATGTGTGTGTGTGCGGGCGCGTGCGTGTAAAAAAATGAATTAAACTACGCCAGACAAGATGCCCGAACTGAATAAAAGGTAACACGAATCCAATTTCTTTTTTTTATAGGAACACAATTCAAATTTCCACAAATGAGAGATAACATATTCGCAACTCGCACGCCTCACGAAAACCCTTTCGAGCTTCCCTTCTTGTCCAATCATCATATCTCATGTCGCAACCCACACACCTTTGAGCTCTGACTCTTCTTGTCATACAATTGCCATCATTGATGTCACACCTGAAATGCGACGTAGACGGCGTGAGAGTGGAAGTTCTGGCCTTTAGAAAGAAGACCGGAGAAATGGGAGTCGCTACCAAAATTTTGAGGAAAATCTCAAAAAAACCGTTTAAAAGCGGATAAGGGTGGTCTGCGAAAATGAAAAATAGGTTCGGGAGTTGTTTGAGTATGGAGAAGGTGTTAGGCACCCTACAGCACCCATTCGCGAGAACGGTTACCTAAAGTTTATTGTGCGATATTAATATAGTTTTAAAATTATTTTAATTATCCCTTTTATATTCATGTGTTTGACATAAAAATGATAACAATTAAACGAGAAATATTTATTTATTTACGGGGAGGCCTTGACTCAGAATCTGGTTCTGAGACTTACGTACCCTGTGATAGGGATTAAAATCCACATAATTCGAGCTTAGAATATTGTCTATGGTTTTCCTTATTTTAAATTCTCATAAAAGAGGAAAAAACTTATCACTCGCAAACAAAACAATTTTTATAAATTGCGTGTTGGTATGATTTAATTTGCAAAGATAATTTTTCTATTCCCATTTAGTTTTGAAACTATTTTCTCTGTTATACCTTTTTTTTTTGAAAATTCACTTTGTCAACATAAAAAAATATATTTCTTTAAAAAAAATTAAATATGTCTACGGAGATTTATTGTCACTCGTGGACATTCAAATAATTCAAATGATTTGAAGGTCATTTCGTGAATATATTAATTTAATTAATTTAAAAAAATGTTTACTATTTTATTTTATTTACAAAAATTATATATAAATTGAAAATCACATTATCTGTGAGGATTTATTATGATAATATTACTTTAAATCTCTTTGAAAATTCCTTAAATCTCCACACAAAAATAAACTTAGATATTTATCAATTTAAGTTAGAGAAGAAAAATAAATAAATAAATAAATAAAATTAATGATTATAGAGAATCATTGGAATTCATATCGTTATATATACAAGTTGGATCTATCCACCTGCGAAACCTTATTAATTTTCACGATATATTACCATTTTAAAATGCCTATGCGGATTTCTTAAAAATCTCACATGGCTAATAAATTAAAAAGATAAAAATTAACATTATGATCCAACCGCATCCAGAATGGTCACCATAAAATTAACAATTTTTCATAATCAACTAACAAATTCTCATGATTAATAAGCAAACATGATTTGATCACTAAGGAGCATAAAAAAAATAAAATATGATTCAAACCCATAACCACACTCTCGTGTACTTGTCTACCGTGCAATGCAAAGATAGTTTCAAACATTCATTTAGCAAATACATGTATGGAGCTTGTGAACACCGTATTTTGTCCGGACATTTTTTTTAAATTTAATAAAATAATAATAAATAGTCAAAAATATAAAAAAATATAAAAATAAAATTTAATCCTTTTTTAGGATTATATTTTTAAAATAAAAAATTTTATTTAAATCTTTTAAGATCTCTCTAAATTATCCCAATCATTCAAAAATATTGAGAGTTAACTTTGAGAGTTAAATTTCTCTCCTTAAATTTTATTTTTCTTTTTTAAAAAATACATACTGTGTGTGTGTGTGTGTGTTAATTTAATCTAAAAAAATTATTAAAATCAAAAAAAGGTTGGATGAAACACAAGCCTTGTGCAGTTCACATACACACAATTTTGGCGCACACACACTCTTAGCATACACAGGGATAGGACATCACACACAAAAAAGAAAACTAAAGGAATAGATACAGCCACAGCCCAAAAGAGATGAAGAAGACGTGCATGAAAGAAGAAGAAAGCCAAAGACACATAGAAAGACATAGAAACACAGAAGGAGAACCAAACTGCCACCAGCCAAAACATGCATGCATGCATGCAATAGACAGAGAACAAACCTTTACCTCTGAAAAAGAGAGCAGAGAGCAAGCGAAAAACTGGACATGCACACAAAAGAAGCATACATGAAACACAGAAGCAAGAATGTAGCACCCACACGCTAGCTGAAAATGAGCATAAAAAAGCAGAAAAGCTGAGAAAGAGGGAAGAGAGATCGAGAGTATAAAACGCAGATCATAGCTGGACAAAAAAAAAGGCCAAAATAGAGACAGAGAGAGGGACCGAAAGAAGTAAAAACATGGTGAAAAGAGAATGGAGAAAAAACTGGAAGAAAGGAGAGAACACAGACCGCATGCACACAGAAAAAAATAGACAGTAGGAAGGAACGAGGGGACCGAGAGAAAAAATGGAACTGGAGAGAGAAAAACCAGACATAAAAATGAAGGAAAAACAGAGCATGGAGAGAAGGAGAAATAGGAACATTTCAGCGTGAGAGAAGAGGGAGGAGAGACGGAAAAAGAGAGAGCCATAACGTGAGAGAGAGGCGAGACCGAGGAAGAGTCTGAGAGAGGAGGAAAAACTGAAAGGAAAACAGAGTACAGAATGAGAGACCGAAAAAAAAACGAAGCAAAAATAGAGCACAATAAGAGACACAAGAGAGAGAGAGAGAGAGAGAGAGAGACGGAGTGAGAGACAAGAAGGAGGACGAGAGAGAGAAGGAGACATAGAAAGAACCAGTGAAGGAGAAGTAGAACACACAGACGAAGCATGCGTGAGGAAGCTCGAGAAAGAAGAAATGCCGAGTTTATCACCATCCTTCTCTTCCTCTATGTCACCATCGCTACTATTATCAGCCACACAAAAAAGCAGCTCAGCTTCTGTAATAGTGTGGGCTTCCTAGGCATCACTTGGGCCTTCAGTAGCATGATCTTCATCCTCGTTTACTGCATCGCCAATATCACTGGTGGCCACATCAATCCTGCAGTTACATTCGAATTGTTCTTAGCCAGGAAGGTGACGTTCATCCAAGCTTTAGTGTATAAGGTGGCTCAATGCTTGGGAGCTATTTGTGGTACTGGACTGGTCAAGGCTCGGTGGTGGCCTAGTTGTGGACGTATTGCTTTGGAAGAATTAGTGCAGAGGGGTCATGGTTTTGGTTTTATCAACAGCAATATGGATGGAAAATTACCTACAAATAAGTTAAAGAAGATAGAGTAGGGTGCAAGTGGATCCCTGCGTCTAGTTAGGGAGTATAGAAATGGGTGTTCAACATATCAACAAAGAGCATTAATTCTCATCCTGATCTCTGAAGTCTGAATTGATGGTAAGATTTCTATCTTATATCTCTTTAGTTACAAAACTTGCCAGTTGTTAATTTACTCCATAAACTCTTAAGTATATTTGCTTCAAATATCATCAATCAATATGTTTATAAGTTAGTTCTTTTAAATGCTAAAGCTACTGGATGTTTTTATTATTTCTTATTTATTTGCATTATTATGTCACCATTGGAAAGGAGTTCCATTTTTCTTTTTAGATGAATTTTGAATTTTGTAATTGAGATCCAAAAAATAATAGAGTGTATACTTATTTGTTACTTATTTGTCGTGTGAAATTTTAAGAATTTTATAAACATTTAAAATGAGCTTATACCATGTAAATCAATAAGATTTTGTAGGTATAAAAATCCAACTTGTATCTATATGGGTTTCAAAGGCTCATTATTAAAATTAATTCTCTCTTTATAATAAATATTTAAGTCTCATGTGAGATTTCAAGAATCTTCGTAGAGACTTAAATTAATCACATTATCGTGTAGGATAATAAATCCTCATAGAAATTGTGATTCACAATTTATATGGTAAATAAATAAACCAATTTGTGAATAAATGAAAATTTTTTTTATAATTTTTAATTAATTAAATTAATGAATTTAAATTATAATTATATTTTCTAATTAAATCTTTTGGTTATGTGAGATTTTTGAAACTCCGTAGACCTTTAAGATAATCGTACTACCTTGTGAGTCAATAAGGCTTCGCATGTATAACGATTAAGATTTTTATATTAAAAAATATGTATTATATAATTACGCATTAAAATATGTTTAAAGTGAATATTCTTTAATCCTTTTATCATGTGAGACTTTGAATCTCTAAAGATATTCAGAATAATCTCGTGTCGTGTAAATCAATAAGATTTCGCAGATATGAGAGCAAAACTTATATATTAAATTAACTCTCTTTTTATAATCTAAATTAATAATTTATTTAAGTTCCATGTGAGATTTCAAGAATCTTCATGGGGACTTAAATTAATCACATTATCGTATGGGATAATAAGTTCTCGCAGATATAGTGATTTTCAATTTTTATAATAAATAAGTAATTTTTGTAAATAATCATATAATATATAATTTAAGAAACTTAATTAACCAAATTAATGTATTTAAATTGTAACCATATTTACCGATTATATCTTTTAGTCATATGAGATTTTTGAATCTCCGTAGGCTTCTAAGATCATCATATTATCGTATGAGTCAATAAGACTCTACAGATATAATGATTTAGTTTTTAAAATATATATATATATATATATTATATTAATATAATCACATTAAAAATGTATTTAAATTTAATTCTTTTATCATGTGAGATTTAAAATCTCCGCAAATATTTAGGATAATCATATTACCGTATAAGTCAATAAGGCTATGTAAGTATGATGATTAAAATTTTTCAAAACATGTATCTACATGCTAAAAATTATTATCAATATTTAAAAATGTACATAAGAATATAAATAAATAAATTAAATTATTAATTTTTTCTATCGTGTGAGATTTTAGAATCTCCGCAGATATTTAGAGCAATTGTATTACCGTATGAACCAATAAGGTTCTGCAGGTACTGCGATTAAAATTCCCAATCATAAAATATAAAGAAAAATAATTTTAAACCCTTTCCTTTCTTTATTCCAAAAATTCAAAAATGGAGAAAATAATTAAAATTAAATTACCTTTTGCAATTTAAAACACACATATCAAAATTTCAGAAATTATTTTATTTGCAAAATGGTGAATTGTTTCTAATTAATTTCTCTTCAAAAAATATATGTTCACCAACAATTTTTAAATCCGAACTACGTGGACTTTGATCCCTATCACATGGTACGTAGGCCTCAGAGTCAGATTCTGAGTCAAGTCCGTCCTCCCTCATAAATAAATAAATATTTCTCATCTAATTCTTATCATTTTTATTAAACATATGAATATAAAAAGGATAATTAAAATAATTATAAAACCATACTAATAAAGCACAGCAAACTTCAGGTAACCGTTTTAATGAACGAGTGTTGTGGTGTACCTAACACCTTCCCCATACTCAACTAACTCCTGAACCTATTCTCTGATTATGCAGATCACCCTTAACCTCCATTAATCGGTTTCCCGAGATTTCCCTCAAAATTTTGGTGGCGACTCCTCGTTTATGCGGTTCCCGCCGTAAAGGCCGGGACCTCCGCTTGCATGCCATCCGCATTGCATTTTTTTGGGTGCGACAGAGCTAAACCAGGATCATTCTTTCAACACACTAGTATATTGAGCTGAACCCAAATCATTCATCCGACACATACATACATACATTGAGTTAATCCCCAATTCCTTAGTTCAACACATACATATATGGTGCTAAACCCAAATCTTCCAGCCAATCAATTGAATAAGGAGAACACAAAAAAAAAAGAATCTTTCTAATTTCAGTTCCAGATTCCCAACACCACATCATAGTTAGAAGGAGAAAAAAAGGCAGATAATCAATCAGGAAACCTAAGCTACTCGATCAAAACTAGAGTAATTCAAATGCATAAATTTCAAACCTATTACAGTAGATGAGAATTTCCAAACTCCTCCCGCCTTCAGAGATTCAAATTATTTCCAGATTCAACCGTGGTCTCCCTCAGTTCTTCTCAGTCTCTTTTCTTCAAAAAAAAAAAAGACAGAGGTTCGATCTCTCCTTGCCTAATTTCCTCTTTTTAGAAATTCGTCCAGTCCCCCCCTTTTTAGAAATCCTCTCAACGGTCTCTCTCTGTTTTTTTTCAGAAATTCAACCCAGTTCCCTTCTCTTCATTGTCTTTCCAGAAATTACCTCTCTGATTTTGATTTCTCTTCCTCCTTCCCCGTCTTTCTTCGGATTCCAGGCTTTAAATAGAGAGCAAATGATTACTTACCGTTACACGCTTCCATCTCAAACCGCCATCCCTATTTTGCTCCTTTTGATCGCATGTATCTCTTTCTTTTGCCTTTTTCCCTTTTCTTCCGATGCGTTGCCATGTGTGTGTGTCTCTGCCGTGTGTTGCTTCCTTTACCTTCACACTTTTCTTCTAGATCTCTTCAGTCACGTGCGTGACTCGTCTATGTATTTCTGCACTCTGCTTCTTCTTTTCATGATTGTGTGCTCTGCTTTGCGATCGCTCCCCTCTGGTCTCCACCTCTCTCCAATCTTCTTTCTTCTGTCTGTGGCTCCTTTCTTCTTTCTTTCTTCGTGTCTGACTAACTGCTTCTCCTGCTTTCTTTCTTGTTTTGTCGCATCTGGTTCAGGTCTCGTTGTGGCCACGTATGTGCGTGTGCGTTCTGGTCTTTCATCCTTTGGCTGTGTGTGTGGGCCGGATGAAATTACTGGGCCTTTCAGTATTTCGTCTGCCCAAATATAAATTTTTATATTATTATTATAATATATATTTTCTCTCTTTTTTTAATGCTCTCCCTTATTCTTTTTATTCTAGAAATCAGATTAAGAGAAAAATTTAATTTAAGCAAGAATACCTTCTCTGTTTTTTTTGGCTAGGTTATTTTATTATTAAAAAAATACCTAAACAAAATACAGTGTTCACAACTGATGTAGTCAGCAAGAACCTGCCCTTCATATAATTAACTATAGAATACCTTTGGGCCAAGAGAGCTTGGATAAAACTCAAGCCTTGTATAGATACCTTTTACTTTGCCTTTATAGGATTAAATACTTTGGCATGCATGGAATATAACTATAAGCAATGCCGCAGTTATCTATTTTTTCACCATTTTTCAATTTCAAGAACCCAAATTCTTTAAGGAAGTCTCTCGTGATCCCTTTTGACAGCAAGTTATGGATTAGGAATTACAGGCCTTAGAGAAAAATGCATACTTAGAATCTCGTTAATCTTCGTCCTGGTAAAACTCTGGTTAGGTGTCAATGGGTTTATAAGAACAAGATTCATTTAGATGCCTTTTTAAAGCAACATAAGGCCTGCTTAGTACTCTAAGGATTTACTTAGGAATATGATGTCGATTATGAGAAGACTTTTGCACTTGTTTCTCGTGTGACTTCTATTCGTAGCCTTCTAACTATTGTTGTTGTTAAGTATTGGCCTCTTCATTAGATGAATGCTAAAAATGCCTTTCTAAATAGAGACTTAAAAGAAGTGTATATGAAGCCTTTACCTCAGTATCAACATTTGAAAGACAAGCTCAAACTCTATATAGGCTCAAGCAGGCTCTTCGTGTATAGTTTGCTATGTTTAGTAACATTATGAGTCAACTGGATTTTACTTGTAGTCTTCATGACTCAACTCTTTTTGTTGGCTCTACTGCTCATGGTATTATTCTGTTGCTGTTGTATGTTGATGACATGATTATCACAGGCAGTGATGATATGAGAGTTCAAGAGCTCAAGACATTTAGGCTAGTAATTTGAAATGAAAGATCTTGATAGATTGAACTATTTTCTTGAGCTTGAGGTCCACCATAGAAGTGATGGCATATATCTCTCTCAAGTCAAGTATGCCACTAATTTGATATCCCGAGCTCACCTTTCTAACGAGGAAGTTGAAACTACTCTCATTGAACTGAATGTTCACTATAATTCTACCGATGACACCTTATTGGATAATCTCACCTATTACTATCAACTAGTTAGAGGCCTCCTCTATCTTACTGTTACCCATCCTAACATTACTTATGCAATCCACATTGTTAGCCAGTTTATGTCGGAGCCTCACATAACTCATTATGTAGCAGTTCTTCAAATCATTTGGTATGTCAAAGGCATTTTGTATCATGGGCTTCACTTCTCTGCTAGCTCCTCTCTTGAGCTATGGGCTTACTCTAGTGTCGATTGGGGTGGTAATCGTGATGATCAATGGTCTATGATTGGTTTATGTATCTTCCTCAATCATTCTCT